ACAGCTTTTGGAGGGGGAAAGAGAGAATCCTAAGTACCTACCACAGCCTGTATAAGGACCTTGTCTCGACTGACCTATACATGGTTTTGTGCAGGGACCAGTCAGAACGGTAGCCCTGGAACATGAATGCAAATGATATATTGCAAGACTTATCTCTGCTGCTCCCAGAGGGTGTGATATTAAATCACATTACTCATAGGACCAGGGCAGTCCCTGGACCCTGCAAGGGGGGACCTTGCGGGCTTACAGGCTGCACATACGGCGAAGGCAGAGCCCACTGAGCCTCTTTCACGTCAGACCAACAGCTGACATCTTTGGTGCTGAGCTGCCCCTGCAGGTCTGGTTCCACTAAAATCCTTACAAAGCTACTTATTATCTGAACCAAACATTGGGCCAAGTCCTCTGGAGGGCTAACTGCACTTGCTGATCCTCCTCTCGTTACAGAAGCAAATGCAGACACCTCATTTAAGCAATGCCAGGCACCAAACTTGGAGCAGCAACAGGTCCTGCCGATTTCTGTACTCCAACGCCCTCCTGATGAAGTGAGGCTCACCAGCTTACATGTGTTACGGCAGAATATTCTGTGGTGTTTCTCATACAGTAGGAGAAACACACTTGCAGTGAGCAGGAATATGGGGAACAAAGGTGCTTTTTTTGTGCGCACAAGCCTACACTTTAACAAGGAAGCACCAGCCTGGCTAATCAGTGCTGCTGGCACGAACACCGCCAATGCCCGGCAGACAGATCACAGCTCTGACAGCGTGGACTACTGGTCAGATGAGAAAACTTTGTCCCGAATGGGACAGGTATGTCTTATGCTTAGCGAAGGAAGCTGAATACTGCTGCTACAGGGATTTCTACTGCTGCTACAGGAATCCTGGCTGAATCAGCAAAGCTGAAATGAGATGGGCCTCATAATTTGGTTATGGAGACAGGCATGTAAGGACAGACACTCCTGCTGACCTTCCCTTTGATGTCAAGGAGACCACTCCTAGCAGCTAGAGAAAAGGCTATGTGTAATAATGGCACTAAGGCTAGACATACACGTAAAGGTGAAGGGTTCAACTTTACACTTTCATTTATTATGGTGGTTTAGAGCAAAACATTCATAAAAGGAACAGCATATGATATAGGAAGTAGCCATACACAAAATGGGCCTAAGCTATTAATGAGAGTGTATACGGTCCGTCAGATGCTCCCGGGGCAATATGACTGTCAACTGCCAGCAGGTGATCCAGAACAGGATAAAGTTAGGCTTTCTCAATGTGCTCAGAAACACACACTCTACAAAACGCTTTTAAACATGTTTTGTCTTTAACTCTGCACATCAGCATGCCTCATGCTTGCCTTTGAGCAAAGAGTTTACCTAGGGCTTCAGTTCACTCTTTAAAAAGTCATTCCAGAATCGTTAGCAATAATTACAGAAAACTCAGAATCAGCTTAAGACAGGTACAAGTAAAAAGAACAGTGCTTATTGGTGAGCAAGGACTGCACGTTCATCCAAGTCACAACCTAGAACTCTATCGTAACTGATTAACTCCACTTACCTTCTCTGTGCCTCCATCTCATCTGGAGATGGCCCATTCTGGACCTGGCGCTGGGCAGCTGGACCTACAGAAAAAAAAAGAGAATGCTATTAGGAAAGCAAATGTAGCTGACTTTTTCCAAAAACAGTGACACTCAGATTAATTGCTTCTCCATCTTACTATGAGAGAAAAACCTCAAGCATTATTGTCCTCTTCGCTTTATTTTTTTTAATTTATTTTTTCCTATTAGACAAATCATCACCTCCTGTAGATTTTTAGTCCCACTGGGAGAATCCAATGGCTAAATGTGTGAGCAGATTTGTCCAGTAACTTGGCATTGTGGTAGCTGTAGACTACATACTTATCCCTTGGGGAGGGTGAAGACCTGCAGCGTTGCAAAAGATGTCCTGTGGAAGGACAGTCCATCGCACTGGGATGCATTTCCAGCTTCTACAGGGTTCAGATCTAACCTCCCTGGATTATTCTGTGCTTGCACAGTAATTCAACCACAGGGCTGAGTTTGTGAGCGTACGTGCTAGCTATTGCTGCTCTGATGCTGAGTTGGGATCGAAAAGCTCCCTCATGGAAGGTGCAAGGAGATGCAAGATTAAACAAGCCTTTTTCAAAGGTGGCTTTTCTTTTTACAATGCTGTCGGTCTTCTGCTTCTGCAGGATCCACACCAAGCTGAGCTTTCACTGGCATTCACCAACAAAACTCAACTACGCATGTCACCATTTAAGTCACATCTCCTCTTGACTTTGATGATTTAATCTCTGTTCTTGGACATTTAATCAAGCACACTGACACATGCCATTTTCAGAAAGAAATAATTATTCTGAAAATAAAAATAATTGTTGGCAACATAAGCTACAGTGGTCTTGCATTTGGTGGAAAGAGGATTGTTCCATTGATTTGATGAGGTAGGTTTCAACTGGGACTAAACTGATAAGAGTTCTATTAAATGCAACAGCAATTTTCCTGATAAACAGCACTGAGAAATAGATCAGTTATATGCAGGAAATTATTATGTCTACCTTACTATTTTCATTTTCAAATGTAAAATTTCATCCTTTTAAAAGTTATCCCACAGGAGCAAATCAGAATTAAACCCTTACAAACCCAAATATGTCACTCACAAATCGTTACGGATATTTCTCTCAATTTTCTTTATATGTTTCTGCCAGGCAGAATGTCATCTGAAAACAAATTTAGAAAGTATGACTGCGTGAAAACAGGAAAGATGGCAGAAAGGCATCGCAGTCAGAAATTCCAGAGCATTGACTGATCCTGATGAAATTGTGCGTATTTTTGAAATGTGTTTAAGGACTAACATTTGCAGAAAGGGAACATAGCGCTTTCTGAAAATCAGGCCCGTGTATTCCAGTTTTGGGTATCCCAAAACTGGAGCCAGTGACAACCACTGAGTCAAAAGCTCTGACATTTTAAAATATCCTAGGATTGGGTATGAAGTGAAGACAGTTCACTTCTTTAATGTCTCATGACTGACAACTTAATATTGTTTGTCACAGGCTTTTGGCAAACTATTTAGACAGAAATGCCACATTTTGTGAAGATCACACGAAACAATGAATAGGGGGGGAGAGGGTGGGTTTTTTAGAAGCAAGCCTCAGGAAAAAACTTAGCAGGTATTTGGGAAGCACAGAGCAGGAGGCTCACGTGTAAGGAGTTTAAGGTGTAACAAGGATGCCGTGTTACTGCGTGAATGCTTGTACTGTGCATCTTCACCACTGAAGTGAGAGAAGGCCAGAGCTACCCCGAACAGCAGTCACACAGTGAATTTAAACTTCTTCTGAACACAGTAGGAAGACGGGTAAGGTCCCATCCCCAAACTGTGGAACTGGACCAGACTCCCCACAGTTAGCAGCGTCACCGGTTTGGACCCTGGCTCTGGTGTGTGCAGGTAACACCCACGTTCTCCTGTGCACATACACGCACCTGTGAGATATTTCAATAAGCAGACTTCTGGGTGAAAGACTTTCAAGGCTTAAGTCAGTTACGCCTCCCTCACCGGGTAACAAATTCTAACATGACAAGCCTTAGCCATGCTCATCCCTGCATATGATTTCATCATGAGAAAACTTCCCTTGTATAAAGACTCAGAGCATCATACAGAAGCCTGCACTCTGCTTGGAAAGAGGACTAAAAGTAGGCACCAACGTGAACAAGAAGGGCCAGAGGATGAGGCAGCAGACACAACAATTCTTCCCTGGCAATAAATCATGTCAAAGTATATAGGAGGATCTAATGATGCCATCTTAATCTGGTACTTTGGCATGAATCTTCTCTTGGGGCCAAACGCCCAGAAAAATGGGGCAGTGTGGCCAGTTTGACTAATACTAGACATGCAGAAGGAATCAAAGAGCAGACTATCAACACCACACAAAAAAACCAACTCCTTTTTCCTGTGGGCACTGTTATGAACTGGCTACGTAGGTTTAAAACCAAACAAATCTAACCAAATCAATTTGGAAAGCAGCCTAAAGGAATCCTTTTAAGGCAATGTTACAAAACACATCTGGAAGTTGGGGTTGTTCCTTTTTATCACCTGGAGCTTTCTCAAGCTGATCTTGCATAGCAGGCAGGTAAATGCTGCTATGAGTTTTTTCTTCTGTTTTTCTTCTATTTTACTAGTGACCAGTAGTGAGACATTAAAGAAGTGAACTGTCTTCACGTCATACCCAATCCTAAGATATTTTTAATGTCCTCTTCTGCACATCAGTTTTGTTTAGCACAATTTTCTTCTCAAAGTCCTTTAGAAGTGAAGTACACTAACAAAGTTGGGAGACAAAAAAAGGCAAGCATGAACAGAAGAGGAGGATGAAGCTGTAATAGGTAGCTTGTCCTTTCCCCTGTGTAAAACAAGAAGTAGTGGAGTAAAAGTTGCTAAGATAATGCTACCTGAGGAAAAGCCTAGACCAGCTGCAGGGGTCAATCACAGCCCATGGGAACAGGGATACCTGTTTTGTGTTCCTGCAGAGGCTTGTATTGATTGGAAGTGGTTGGAAAAGCGTTTGAGGAAAGTTGTATGTGGAGTTGTCCTGGGATAACAGGGTGTTCAGGCAGTTACACCTTTTGCTGCCAGTGGGGTTACAGCTCTTCTTGCCACCAGTGGGGAAAGACACCAGTTCTGTTTGGCACTGGTTGTTGTTTTGCTTGGGTTACTCATGACCATAAGAAATAACTCCTTCTGGCATCCTGCTTGTGATCTTACTCAAACCAATCATTTTTCTGTAGTAATATGGAACCTTAATTTGCAAACCCTAAAGAAAAAGGTTAGATGCACCCAGTTTTGGCAACCAAGATTTTGCCTGAGGGTGGCCAATACACTTAAAAGTCCAACCTAAGATTTCAGGTCTGTTCATTGCCAGAAATATAAATTCTGCTAGATTTCCCCCCCTCCCCATCCAGACTTCTTGGCAGACCCAGGCACACCACCATCTGATGTGATGTCTGCAAACAACTTCAATTTCTGTAATGGTGGAGCTTCTTGTTTCTTTCGTCCTTGAGCTTGCTTCTAGCATGCTTGGCCAAAACTCATACAGATACTGAAGACAGGGATTATTTTTACGCTTGGTTCCCTATGTGTATGCTCTGCAGTGCACATACAGCAGACAGCTGTTTGGCTGAGGGTTTTTTAAATTCAGGTGGGTTTCTAGGTTTAACTCCTCTCCACATTTTCAGGTATTTCTCAGACCTGAGAACACATGAAGAGTAAGTGCTCTTGGTGATGGCATCCTCATTTAAACATGCTTCTCGAGTTGGCCTGTGAGCTGCCTCCGACCCTGACAGCCTTTGGGAACAGCCTCACAGAGAAGAGTGCTTCTCAGCACAACAACCAGGCGAGATGGTTTTGCTACTGACCTGTTTGCAGCTTCACAGCTGTTGCGATCTACATTTTTAGCAACAAATTAATGCAGGAGATACGCTGTGAATGTCTGTGTTTCCTCGCTTCGTTGCTTTGTAATAATTAACCGCATTTTTATACAAGCATCTTGTAATTCAGCTCAAGGCAGATTTTGGAAGCACACAGACGTTCTCCGTGTTTGCTTTTTCTCCTCCTGCTCAGCCACCCCAGCACCCACTCTGCCCTTCCCCAGCTGCCCCTAAAGATGGCGATGGGGAACTCCTGGCATAGGGCACTGCTTTGTGGTGGGTGTGATGATTTCTATATGGTGGTGACCGCTCCTGGACCACTGCGCCCTGCTACTGCTCGGAGATGTCCACATCCAGACCCACGGCCAGCCACAAATTAGGACCAAAGCTGCCACCGAGGGAAAACCCATGGCTTCCACTCTGGTGTAGCTGCGGTGGGAAGGCACACACAAGCAGGAACAATGTCATCATTTCTCTCCTGCTGGGGCAGCCCCAAGCAGAGTTTGTTTTTCCTCTTTCACTTGTGCTACAACTGCAAGCACCACTGACTGCATGCACTCAAGAAAGTGGCAAAACTAGGCCCATTTCCCTGAGCAACCAGGATTTTGTGCTTCTTAAATACAGAAGGTCCAATCTAACCCGCTTACAGATCTTTTATTCATTATACACACTGGAAGCAGCCCCCAGGTGGGGTTTCTGCCAACCCCTATAGCCTCCATGGTGTTTATGGACCAGTGTGATGAATGTGGTGGGCTAAGGAAAGCATCCAGAGTCGGAGCTGAATAAGAAATCTATCTGGGCTTTAAATTCACGAGATGATTGAAAATGTTTGTTCTGCATATGAACAGAACATCATGATTTTGTGTGGAAAAAAACCACAGACAGACAGCCCTCCCTCACTGCTTGATGGTTTCAGCACATACTTGGATTGCCGGAGACTCAGGTTCAGGCACCAGGTCTGACCCGTCGTCATTTATATCCTGGGAATGTGACATAAACTCTTGCTTATCCTGACCAGGACAGAAGAAATCACTCCAGATTGCAAGTTCCTGCAAAGCTTTTCTTTCCCACAGAAATACCTTTCAAATAAATGGCATTTTCTGACAGAAAAAAAAAAAAATCAGTTGTGAAAAGCATTTCTGACTAATGCTAATCCCAGCGTCCCTGTTCAGGTACAGCCTGGGCCACCG